CACGGCCACAGGGCTCCGTAGCCATGGCCACAAAGCTCCATAGCCACGGCCACAGGGCTCCCTCCATAGCCACAGCCACAGGGCTCCATAGCCACAGCTGACTTCAGGACTCCTTGAGGATACACTGGTGGCCCCTTCCCCACTCCATGCAGGGGCTGCAGAGCTCAGGCTCAGGCTGGGGCCTCCTGACAAGCCCCTCCTCTGTTCTCCTCTTAAAGGGCACGGTGCCTTCGCTGGTTGGCCCTTTGCCTGGTTCTGGGGAGAGGCAGCTCATGGGCCCTGGTGTGGTCTCAGAGCCATGCAGAAGCTCTGATCAGAACAGCACGCTGGCTGGCTAGAGAACACAGCTGGCCTCCATGCAGGGGGACTCCCCAGGTCCAGGTCTCTGCTTCTCCCACTCACCCCAGCGCCCCCTCAGAAATGGCTGAGTGAAGCCACACAGACGGTGGGACCCGGGGCAGTGTCCAGTCCCTGCTGTCACTTCTCTGCTGCCAGCCTCACACCTGGCCAGACCCAAGTCACGAGTTGTGGTACAGCTATGTAAAGAGATGCAAATCATACATATTTGTAAAAAATAGGTTAAAAAGTGCCTCCTGCCAGCTTCCAGGGGGCCCAGTGGTCTCATGACTGGCCACACTGAGAGGATTTCCTTTCTGGGGGCAAGTCTTAGAGCCACCGTATAGTCGTCATAGTGCAGCCTGCTTGGGCCACGCCAGCGCGTGACGATTTCCCCTGTGTTCTTCTGTGTCTGCCTATGGGTCCCAGCGTGGGCTTCTTGGCTGCTCAGAGCTGTGTCTCGTCCCGGGTCGCAGGGTTACAGGATGACAACTTGTTGCTACAGCTGCTCTTCCGACTCTGGGAGCTGCTGCCCACGTGGGCCAGGGGATCGGAGCGGATGAGGTACCTGCAGAAGATACCAAGGAAGGCCCCGGAATGGCAAGTCAGGTAACCAGCCACACCAGACCTGTGCCAACTGTGGGCCCTGGAGCCCTATGCCTGATGCTGGGAGGGCCAGTACTTTGTACTCACACAATGTCATTGGGCTCCAGCCTCGTGTCTGGTGGGGGATTGATGAGTACGTAGGAAAGAGTGTTCTGGTGATGGTCGTTCATCTCGTCTGCAAAGGACATAGCCCAGGCATCACCCAACCCCATCCAGCACGGCCCTGCTGGGCCCTGGGGAGCCAGAGGAGCTAGTTCTCCATCTAGCCTTTCTGGCCATATACTGACTGATCCTCCCTGACACCTGTCCTTGGCTCCTGCCTGCACTGGGCAGGGCTCAGCCAAGAGGAACGGCAGAGCACTGGCTCCCACTCTCCCAGGCAGCTGGCTCGGCTAACAGCCAACCTGAGATGACATCTCACCGATGGAGGAGGTGGGTGCTGACTGAGCAGAGGCACTGAGCACACCTGCACATGCCTGCTTCCTACAAAGCTGTATGGGCAGGTGCATATGCCCACATGTACACACACCCACACAACACCTGAGTGCACTTGTGCACAACTGTGCATGCCTTCACCTGCATATATAACTGTGTACACTTACACATACCTATGTATACCTATATATATCATCTCCACACTTGCAAGCACCTGTGCATACCCCTACATACATGTACCTGCACATAGACCTGTATATACGCATAAACACTACTGATCACTTGCACATATGACACACCCACATTCCTGTAATACCCACATGCACAGCTGTACCACTGCTAACATACACACACCATCTGCACACCTTTATACCCGCATGCCCTTCCAGAAGCTGCCCAGGCCTTCCTATCACCCTCCTGAAGTGCTCGGCAGGTGCCACCGTCCCTGGGACTGGGCGGGTCACCTCTACTCCCTATACTCTGGTCTCACTGACCAGAGAACAGGGCCCTTCCCTCCTGTGTGTGGCTCTGCTGCTGCTCCTCCTCCAGGGACAGAGACCAGGCGACAGCCCCAGGGTGACCATGGAATGCGACCCCTAGGAATGTGGGTGGTTCTGGAAAAGCAGCCAGTTACATCATTGATGTCTATGCTTGGCCAGCAGGGCACCATGGCCACATCCAGTGCTGGCAATGGCCTTGAGCTTGCTGGTCTCAGTTTACCCACTTCATGTTTAAAGGTACCTCTGGGTTCCAAGGACATACAAAATGAAGGTGACCTGGGACAGGGCATCTTCTGCCTGGCCCCTTTCATTTTTCTTTATCCTTCGTCCTGCGAGGTGTAGCTGACCCCTCTATGAAATTGAGGAAGCTGCCAAGTAACCAACTAGGCTAGGATAGGGCATGCCTTGCCTCTCAGAGCTGCAGTCCCAAGATGAGGGAATACGGCACAGAATGCTTCTGTAAAGTGGGGGTGCCTATACCTCAAACAGTCTGTGCCTGGGGTAGTTCCAATGAAGCCAACATCTCTGTCTACTTCTTCAGGGTAGGACAGCCTGGTGGCCACTCTCCATATATGGGGTGCTGTTCTGTCCCATGAGCATCAGTTCTTGCCCCCCCCCAATCCTACAGTTAAGGCCCCCCATGTTGTGGCTTATGCTGGGAGCCAAGTGGGAGGTGTGTTATCCTGGGACCAAGTCCCTCCTGCAGCTCTGGGGTAGGCAATGCAGGGACAGCAGGGGGCGCACAGGAGCAGGAGTATCCATTCAGTCATGCTCATGCGTGTCTATCAGGGCCACCAGACGGTCATCCTGCAGGTGGGGCCGGAAGCCCTGGCTATGAGAGGAAGCTACTGGATCCTCTCTTTAGGCCTGGGCCCTGGGCTACCATTCTCCTCCAAACAGGGGCAGATCTGGGAATGTCTGAGACTTGCAAAGCGCGTGGCGGGGGGGTAGGACTAGGTCTGGCTTTGTGCTTCTGTGGTGCTGAGCTGAGGGGGCCGTGCCAAATCCCAGGTATGCCAACGTGGGGCTGTGGTCAGTCTTGTGAATCCAACTGCTTGGCCTGGGAGAGCAAGCCAACAGCCCTGAGGTAGACTCAGCATCCACATGCTGGTAAAGATAGACAGCAGGTGCAGGGGTAGGTAGGGGCGGGGACATGGCCTGGCTTGAATGTGCTTCTAGAATGGAAACAGGTTAGGCCTCTGCAACAGCTCTGCTTCCCCTCACCTTCTCCCCACCGCCCCAGATGAGTACCTCCCAGACCCAAGCCCTGAGCATCTATACCCATTTCCCTATGTAGCCAGAGCTTTCTAACCTGAGCCTCAGCTTGCTCATCTCAGAACCAGAATCACTTCAGGGCTGTGCTCTTTCTCCTGCCTCCTATACACACAGAGCTCCTGGGCACAGTCCCACACTGGATGTTGTCCTTGATGAGCAGGTTGTGACACTCTGGCCTCACATCCTGACACCACACCATGCTGCGCATAGGGTACTGTGAGTCCCCGTTGCCAAGTTCTAGCACGTTTTCCCCAGTGAGCATACAGGTGATGCTCAGTGAACACTCAAGAGCGTCCTATGATCCTGCAGGAGCTGCCCAAGCCCTCGCCTGCCTGCCTTTGCCTGGGAGCCACACAGGAAGCAGATGTAGCTGGGTGCAGGGTATGCATGGTTCATGGAAGTCACCAGGCCCAGCTCAGAATCCCAAGTGGCCAGCAGAGGGCCCGGTTTCCATGAATGCTGGAATGCAGGGTGGAAGGAGGAGGAAAACCACACCCCGGAGATGCCAACACTTCGCTTCTGTGGCTGCCCACAGCCATCCTCACAAACAAGGACCCAGCTAAACTGACATCTACTTGGGCCTAGACACCCCTCAAGCTCCCAGAAAACCTGTGTGGAGGGGAGGCGCCGAAGGCAGTGGCTTAGCCTTTGCTCTGGGCTCTGACCAGGTGGCCTCCGGTGTGGGAGGTGCTCCTTGGAGAAGGTGCTCAGCAGCATTAAAGCTTGCAGACGAGACGTGAGTAGATCAGCTCTGTCTCAAGCAGACAGAAAGAGTCTTCTCCTGAAGCCCGAGTCTACCTACCTGGCTTGGGTAGTTCAAGCCTGCCTATGCCTTGGCACAGAGTGCAATGCTAGTTTCTATCCTCATGTCTGAGGGAGGAGGCTCACTAAGACACCCAGAGACTTTGGGCATCTGTGGGACTAGCCAGAGAGGCCAGCTGTTGCTGAAATGGCCTGCTGCCTAGTCAGGGCAAAGCTAGATCACATGGCACATCCTAACAACAGAGCTGGGTAAAGTATTTGGGGTTATCCCTGGGGCCAGGGTGGATACCATCATCTGGGGGCTCCCATGGCTCTCAGCCAGAACAAACCAAGGAGGAAGATAGAAGGTCTGAGAACCCACTGTGGACACACAAGTCCCTCCATTCTCTCCTGGTCACTGTCTAGCCCAGCCAAGGTGGCAAAGGGTTGGCACATCCCCTGTGTGGTGGCCGGTATCCACTGGAGCAGAATTACCTTGCAAATATCCCAGGTTTACCCGATTCATCACATCACTGGCTGTTAAATTTGCTACGTCCTCTATGGAACACATAAGAGAGGCACAGACAGAAAGAGAGAGAGAGACAGGTCAGCAAGCAATGGCGGGGTGGGCACGCTGGCACAGCAGAATGCAGGGCAGTGGCCAGCTACACGCAGACACCGTCCACACCGGGACTGCGGTGGCCAGCACCAGCCACCTCCGAAGCAAGTCAATCGCCAAAGGGCATCTGGTCCTTCTCTGCCAAGCACTGGCATGTAGGGGGTCTGCAGAGGCTAAGAGGCACACAGGGCAGGTGCCAGTGCTGAGCTTGGCCACGTGGGCTGGGCTTTGTATCTCCTAGTCCTTGCCATAGCTCATGAATGCTGGAATCTCCTGAGCCTCGGTGGCCAGTTCCCCGGAACAATGGGTTACCCAGGCTGGGGTACCGAGGAGGTCACTAGATCTAGGGCATTGGAGGGACACTCCACACTGTGTGCACATGGCTGGGAAAGGCTCTGGGGTGGTCATGCTGTTCTCAAAACCCTGGTCTGTCTTCCCCAGGCCTACCCCTTAGGGAAGTCTAGCCCTGCCTTGTGAATATGCCCAGAATGCCCAATATGCATGGCCAGCACATGGCTCGGCCCCAGTGACCCCTGGGCAGCTCCCTCTACTTGGAGGAATCTCTAGGGCCCCATCTCAAGTGATGCTAGACATCACAATGCTGGGCGGGCCTCGGCAATGACTGAGTGTTAAGACACTGAGAGTCCGGGGAGGCACAGGCCAGAGTAGAGATCTTGGGCCTCCTTTGACCTCATCAGCAGAGGCAGCCTGGTCAAAGTCACATAGATGTTACCCAAAAATGGCACAGAGAGAAGGGGGTCACAGAAGTCTGTTCTGCATGTTGTTCAGGGCAGTGGCCAGCTACACGCAGACACCGTCCACACTGGGACTGTGGTGGCCAGCACCACAGAGCTCTAACGCAACAGAAATGTGATGACTGCCTTGGGGAGGAGAGTGGGATGGACAGAGGGATATGTGGGTCATTCTACTGACTATCCCTGACCTATCCCTGGCCAGGGACCCGCCAACTCCTTGCCTTTCAAGTCTCTCATGAAACGGGAAGACTGCACTTGTATACCTAATGAAGGCCATGAGCTTTTGGGGAGATGGCTTGGCTCGCCACTCTATTCCTTTCTGGGTCCAGTCCCTTACTTTCTGGTGGGGAAATTGAGGCTCCAGAGTGGTAGAAGTGAGCCAGTGTGGTTCACTCTGCACCTTCTCCATCCTGGGTGGGTACAGACACTCCTCTGCCCTTCACTGGGCAGGCCCCAGTGACCAGTGGATCTGGAGCCATGCCTGCTGAAGGGGTCAGGCCGATGGGAGATGCCCATCCGCTGCTCTGCTATGGCCCAACCTGCCCCACCTTGTCGCCTGCCCTTACCATAGCCAGTGGTGGGCAGCCCCAGGTGTTTCATCCGGTTCTTGACCAGCTCCGAGAGCTCCTGGCGCTCCGAGCGTCGGTAGAGGCTGAGCCGCTGCTGGGTGATCCACTCTGTGGCCGCAGGCGCCTTGCCCGCCTGCTTGCTGCTCTTGCGACTCAGCTTGCGGGCCCACTGCAGGCTCTTACGGCGCAGTAGTGGGTGCTCTGCTGGGTCAGCACTGCCCCCGTGGCGGCCATGGGTGCTGCCACTGCCAGAGGCAGCCCGTGTGCCCCAGGACCCCTTGGCCTCCCGAGTGTCGTCGCAGTCCTCCATGTTCACCGAGATCTGGGACTGGGCAGGCAGGAGGGCTATTGCCTGGGGCCCCTTGTGCCTTGAGGTACCAGGGAGGAGATGGGCTCTGGACCCACAGTGTGAACACCGGCCTTCTCCAGGCCAGAAAGACTGTGGGGTCCTGTGTTCCCACCTGTACCCTAATCTGCCCGGCCTCCTGGCTTGCTCAAAGTCTGATCCAGGATGGAGCCAGCCTGTCCCCAGGGAAGAGGATCCCTAGTCTATCCAGGCCATCACATCTACGGGTCTGGCTGGTCCCTCTGGCCTGGCTTATCCTGGCTTTGCCCTAGTATAGGGGCCCCTATCTACACCACAGTTTCCCCATATGCAGGTGGTACAGGGATCCCCATCAAACACATCCTTGGGAGTCCGTGCAAACAGACAGGGTGTGGTAGGCTGTGCATGACTGAGTGGGCATGTGAGGTGCTGGGGAAAATGTGGGGACCCCATTAGGCAGTACCTTAGAGAGACTGAGAGGGATAATGAGGGTGTGGGGGTCAGACCAGCCCATAGGGGTACCTGCCGCTCTGAAGGCTGCAGTGGAACCTGTTGATGATGCATGCAGCTGGGCTGGGGTGAGGGGTACACTGGATGTGGGTAAACCCACGTGACTTCCCCCGCCTCAATTTCCCCATCGTATAGGAGGATGGTAATTGCGAGAGCCCCCCAGCCCTACCCTGAACAACCCAGTGGCCAATACATTTTCCTTCCCTGCCTGTTTCCCAGGGGCCTGATCAAGGTAAGGAAGAATCCACGAGGCACAGGGGAAGCGGAAACTCCACATGGGGTCCGGGAGTGCTCACCTGGGCTCTGAGGTCATGGGGCTGTAAAGGAAAGCAAGGACTGTGTGGGACCTGTGGGTGGCTTTGCCCCTACCTCAAAGTCCATACAGAGCATGCAGGGGGCAGGATGGTAGGGGGCATGCTGCCCACACGGGTAGACTAGCTGCACCAGACCTCCCCTGACACCCCACCCAGTCCCCCTGGAGGTCTGGGATACTTCCCAAGGTCACCATTCTTCCCAGAGTGGCAGTTGCCCTCACGGGAGGCACGTGTTTTGGACACTGAACCTGCCTAGATGGCAAACAGTCACACACAGGTCCCCAGAGCTGGACTGTAAGAATTATACAGTACCTCAGAGGAGAAGACGTGGCACTCGGTCCTGTAGATGCCGATGGGGATCTCAGCACTGGAGGAGCAGAGTTTCTGGAAGAGGCGGCCATAAGTACGGATCCACAGGTCATCCTCAGTTACCTTCATCTGCAATGAGAGGGAAGTCCTACACTGAGGGGCTGCAGGCAGTGCCCAGAGCCAGGACCACAGTGTCCCAAGGATGGTGCCAGGCCTGTGTCGTATGGCACTGTATACCCAGCCTGCACTTACGGCACAGAGGTAGCCGGAGCCTGGTGTAGTGTCAAGGCCCAACAGCAGCCTGGTGATGGTGATCATGTAGTCCTTCACGAAGGACTGTGGGGCAGCAGGGCCGCGTAAGGCAGATGCTCCAGCCTCAGCACACTCAGGAGGCACCTGCCTGCCAGCCCAGCACGTGAAGTCTAAAAAGGACCAGGACCCAAAATCCCTAGAGTGGTACCAGGGGACCCCTGAGGACAGTGAGACCTGCTGCTCCAGCGGGAACCAGTCTCAGAGGACCTGGGGAGGGCTGTCCAGAGTAATGGGACCAGATCTTAGACAGAGAGCAACTGTGGGCTCTGGTCCAAGGATCGTGGGACCCTGCCAACTTCCCTCCACATCCCAGCTGACCTGGTAGAGAAGTGTATCCAACATGCTGATACTAAACACTCGGCCAGCAGCAAATGGGAGGCGGAACATGAAGGCCAGGTTGGAGCCATTCTCTCGTTCTCGCTGCAAGAAAGGGGTCCTCAGAGGGTGCATAGGATTGCAGGTGGCCGTAGAATTATGGATGGCCGTCAGAGTAAAGATATGTACATAGGGTGTGTCCATGTGTGGTATGTATATGTATGTGTGATATGTGCATGCATGCATTTTGTATGCATGTATGGTATGAGCATGTGTGTATGGTATATATGCATGTGCATATGTGTAGTATGTACATGGTATGTGTACATGGATGTGTGTCTGTGCACACACCAACAGACTTCTGGCCAGCAGGACTTGACTATCCAGCTGCATCTCCCAGACACACTCAGGGCCAGAGCCTAGGGAGAGTTTAGAGCTCTGGGAAGAAAGCGGGGCTCCAAGACCCGTGAGATACGCCCTGTATTTGGAACCCAGGGCCTTGCACACACTGGGCAGGCATGCTATGCTAAGCCACACCCCTAGCGTGAGATTCTCAATACTCTTAACAATTTGATCTTGAATCACATTTTGTGATGTCAGGGACACAGGGGCATGTCAGCAGGAGGGGTACGCTGTGCGTGTGACTGCTCTTCACAGGGTCCACAAAGTTCCAGGCACTGGAGCTGGTGATCCACAGTATGAGCTTTTTGGGGCACATGGCCACAGACTTAGTGGCTCAGAACTTCATTTCAAGGCTCTGAGGTTGGAAGTCTAACGTGGGCTTCCAGTGGCTGAAGTCGGGGCCAGCTGGGCCTTGAGCCCTTGGGAGGCTCTGCAGGACCCTGTCCCCACCTTACCCAGCTCCTGGGGATGCCCAGAGTCCATGGCCTGTGGCTTCTTCCTTTATTCTCAAAGCCAGCTGTGGAGCCTCTTCCTGTCTCTGATGCACTGCCTGTCATGTCCTGTTGCGATTATGTGGGGCCAACGTGGGCATGGAGGACCACTTCCCATCTCAAGTTCCTTAGCACGGTCCCGTCTGTCAAGTCCCTGTGCCTGGAAGGGGCTATTCATAGGCTTGGGAAAGAAGGCAAGCTTTCTTCCAGGCTACTCTTCCAGGAAGCATCCACAAAGGAGCTCAGGTGAGTGCAGACCCAAATCAGCCTGCACTGGCATCTGAGGACACTTCCCCCAGCATAAGGAGTTTGCTTCAGGGCACACAGTCCCAGAGGCCATTGGGAACAGCAGTAGTTACAGGTTGGCCTTTCCACCAGTGAACCCTCTACCGGTCACATCTTCCTGGCGACAGAAGGAAGCACACGGGACAAGTGGTGATCGTGCCTCTCATTTTGTCTTTCCGCAGGCCAGTAACAGAAGAGGGCAAGTGTCGTGGAAAGTGCCGGGTCAGAGAGAGGATGAGGCTAGGATGTGTGGGCTTTACTGGCCCATGAAGAACCAAGTATGCCTGAGCTACAAGGCGTGGTTGTGCCACGTGACAATCCTGCAGTCATGGCCCCTGCCTTCCCACTATGGCGTGCACCTTGTGAAGATTCGCCACTGTGGTAACTCAAGCATTCCCCTGGCTTTCCTAAGAACAGCACTCAACAGGAAGTGACCACACGTCAGGTGCCAAGAGATTGGAAGGAAAGGGAGGGCTTCAAATGTTAGTGTCTTTCCAGAATGTTCCCTTCTATTTCAGGCAGGGAGTGTACATTTCTCTTCTGCGTGGACAATCCTACAAAGCTTGGTGCTCATGATACACAGGCCTTAACAGCGGGTGTGACAGGGGATTCTACCCTCCCCAGGAAGCCGTGGCACCAGCAGCCTGCCTCTTCTTCTTCCTTATCTTGTCTGCCCAGGGCCCAGGACATCGTCCAGTGTGGATCCCAACCCCTCAGCATCCATGAATTCACTACCACGGTGTCCTGACTCCTTCAGCGTGTCCTTGTCATCTCTGCTGTCACAAAGCCACGTGATGGGCCCAGGACCATTCACGGCCTTGAGATGGGCAGCAGCTTGCAAGTCCAGGATGGCGAGAGGGGCCAGCCACTAGGTCCATGCTACAGGGCGTGGATGAAAGCCCCACCCTCCGCTGCTGACACTGGTCATAGAGGGCCTGGCTGTGAGCGAGCCAGTTACAGTCTGTGTACGCTGCCTTCACCCATTTACAGGCTGCCTGTGAGGAGCAGGTTTGGCTCCAGGTGTGACTGTATATAGGGACACAGGCTCCACGATGACTGCATGTCTGATCTACTCTCAGTCACACTGTGAGGACCCCCATGAGATGTGGGGCAGTGGTCTGAGTGCCCACTCACATGATCCTAGCACCTTTGACTGTTTAGGCAGCCTTGACCCTTCCCAGCGTGGACCCAGATGCTGGGCAGGACAGAATCCAAAGACGTGAGTAGGCTGGACAGCAGGAGCCACAGTGTTGTCCGGGGGTCTGCCCACCTGGCTCCCTCATGCTTCTCTGGCTCAGCCAGACCCCAGGCTCTCATGGGCCACTTCCCCTTTGACCTAGCTTCAGGTCAGCATTGAGCTCATCATGTGCAGTAAGAAACCCTAAAGCTTGTCTGTTCTGCCTGATGTCTGGAGTCAGGCCTGGCCCAGACAGTCAGCCATGCTGGCCTCCGGCAGCTCTCCCCAAGGCCACTGGCTCAGGCTGAACTTGGGACTCACACAGAACAGCAAGCACTGGCAGCTGTGGCTTCCTCATCCACACTTGGCCTCTGCTGTCCTTAACACACGGCTTCCACTGTCCTTACCCCAGTGCCTCGTCATCCCCTGTGTGGCTAGCAGGGAGGGTCACAGCCACCATACATCAGAGCAACACAGACAATGGCCTGTACCCATATAGTAGTTGCCCATATTCCTAGTGGGTTCCTGGGTCCTTAGTGTGTCTCTAATGCCGTACTGGGTCCCTGGGTCCCTGGGTTCCACATCTGGCCCAGCTGATGATACTCTTCATGGAGCTGACACCCCTCATGGAACCCCAAGGTCAGAAGTGCAAGAGGTTTTTCCCCTCTCTGATCCTCAGTGTCTGGGACGGAGGCGGCATCTGGTACTTGGTGGGTTGTAGGTATCTGTTACCAGTTCTGGCTGATTCCAGAGCGGATCACGCCCGACTCGAAGGTGCTCAGAGAAGTAGCCCCATAAGGAGAGCCTTGCCTCAGCTGAGCCTCTCTCCTTAGCTCCTGCAGGTTAAGCCCATTCTCCCACAGCCTTGCTCCCTCCCCTTGCCCTTGGTCTCTTTGGGCCTTTTGGCAAAGGACGGCCCACCGGGAAAGGTCCACTTACCTTTTCCAGTTTGGAAAGAGCCAGCGAGTAGCTGTCCTTGGCACGGAACTGCATGAACCGCATGTTGGAAGGGTGGGTGAGCTCTGTGGTGATGCTGAGGCTGGGGAAGAGCCTGGGGGAGGGATGATCAGAGGAGTTGTCCTCCAGTCAGGGCTGAGGGTCTGAGGGGGTCGCAGGCCTGAGGGTCTGTGGTGGGTTTTATGGCTGTGGGAGTCTGTGCTGTGGAGTCTGTCTATGGTGGGTCCTGTGGTCATGACTGGGTGGCCTCTTGTGGGTCTTATTGTTACAGCTGTGGGTGCTGGTCTCTGGTAGATCTTGTGGTCAGGGCTGTGGGATCTGTGTTGGGTCTTGTAGTCATAGAAGTGTGGTCTCTTGTGGGTCCTATGAGGAGGTCTGTGAACTCTGATGGGTCCTATGGTCATAGCTCTGGAGTCCATGGTGGGTCCTACGGTCATGGCTGTGGGGTGTCTTGCAGGTCCCATGGTTAGGGCTGTGGGGTCTGTGCTGGGTCCCATGGTCAGGTCTGTGGACTTGGGTGGGTCCTTTGGTGGGGGCTACGGGTTCTCACAGTGGCTCCATATCCATTTCTGTGGAGCCTGGCTCCCGTGGGTCAGGTGCTCACCGAAACATGGTCTGCACGTTGACAATGGTCTTGGCGTCTGCCATGTAGTCCTCCTCAGCACTCATGGTGCTCTCCTTGTCCACCACCACCAGGTTGTCAGCATAGATGATGCCGCACTGCAACAGGCTGTCCAGGCTGCACGGGACAAGGGGTACGGCCATAGGATCCCCCCACTAAGACCCTCTCAACCCCCCCTTTCCCGCTCTGGGGTGGAGGGACTGCAGGCACTCTGGCCGAGGCTGTTCTCATCTTACTTGTCCACAGAGCCCTCCATGTAGTAGACCATGGGGAAGCAGCAGATGGCCTCCAGGAAGTGGTGGTCGGGCCTGTGGGGACAGCAGGGCCTGGAGGTGTCATCCGCTCTGTGGTTTACCCTCCCCACACTCTCGGGGCCCCAAAAACATGGGACTGAAGGGGATTGAAGACCGAATGGTCTGCCACTTGTTCAGCTCGGGGGAAACTGAGGTCCTGGACTGGCTGAGGTTATACAGCCAAGGCTGGACTTTGGGGGCTCTGGCTGCCACGCTTCCGGAGACCCTGGATTAAAGGAGCTGTTGTTTTGGGAATCCCCGTGGGCCTGCCGGCGTAGAATACGGCCGGGAGCTGGCCAGCAGTCCTCCCGGGCGGGAAGCGAGGCATCACGGGAAGGCACGCTGTCTCACTTGTTGTCAAGCAGCAGCACTATGGGGTTGAGCTCCCGGCGGGACCGGTAGTAGGCGCGCAGAGGCACGATGAAGTTGTAGAGCCCGTTGCCTGCCGTCTCGGCGGAGACGATGATCAGCTTGTTCTTGAACCCGTAGGCCTTGGCGTCTTCGTAGCTGTTGTGTTTGCAGCCCTGGGGACGTGGGGGACCGGGCTGGGCACCACCCTGGCTGTGGGAGAAGCCGCTGGGCCACAGTCGCAGGGACGGGCAACGTGTAGCCCGTGGGAGCCCCGGGGAGATAGGGGGCCACCAGCCACCAGGGCTCATCCCGCCGGCCGCCACTGAAGTCAGGGGCTCACAGAGCTTGGTGGAAGCCAGCCAATGCAGCATTTAGCTACAGAAATACAGGGGCCAAGTCATGTGTGCGCGCGCAATACATGTTCACACAGTGCATTGCCTAGCTCTGACTACCACAGAGCCCAGAATCAAGGCCACAAGCAGCATCTGATCCTGTTTCCTAAAGCCCCTTTCCCTAAATTGAGTCAGACCTCAGTTGGAGGTGCCTGGTCCCAGCCCGTAGCTGGCCATGCATAGTGAGGAAGCATGAGAGGCTGCCGAGCATCAAAGGGTTCAGATCCCCAAACAATGTGGAACAGGGTGTGGGTCCTGAGTAAAACCAGAGGCCACATGCCTCCAGCACGTGAGTGCAAAGGATGCTTTCCTCTTGGCAACACGCTAAGGAGAACTATTGGAAGGATCTAGAAGTAAGAAAGCTGATTCAGGGTGGGTCAGGTTAGAAGCTATCCTGCCCTTATCTCTGCAGTGACTGAACATAGAAACATTCGCTTTCACAGCGGGACAGCATGGCCAGAGATGTGGCCTCCAAGTGCTCAGCCCAGATGCATGGGCTGGTTCTATCATGGATTAAGTTCAGTCACACTAACCACTGGATTACACTCTTCAAAGGTCAACAAGGGATCCGAAGGAAGGCAGAACGGGGGAGTGACAGGCATGTGCTGGCTTAAAGAGTGACAAGGCCTTTGGAGCCTTGGGTTCCACCTGACAGGAGACCCTGGCTCTGCCTGACTCTGGTGACAGGTTATACGAGGAGAGAACAAGTCCTCCTCATCTGGAAACACACAAGGTGTTGTGGGGCTCGGGGCTCGGTGGTCCTAATCTGCTTTCAGCCTGTTCGGAGAAGGCTGCTGTGAGATCAGAGCAGGGAGGCAGAGAGCGGGCGGGCGGGGTGAGGTAGGGAGGCGTCTGCTTCTGCTCAATTTTGTGGCACCACCAAAATACATGGCCACCAAAGTGGGACAGCGGTGGCCACAGCGGAGTCCAGCTGCGGAGCCTCAGCCTTACCTTGTCCAGCCTCAGGCAGCAGAAGGGAGCTTTCACAGGCAGGAGGTGGCATAAGGTCGGGGAGCTGCCAATGTAGGGCGAGTTGGGGGGGTAGCCCTTCACGTACCTGGATGAAGACAGGGACCACAGCATGGCACTATGGCATGGTGGCCTGGCCACGTCAAACCTACCCTTCACCTAGAATATTCATGGAGTCTCCTGGTACTAGCAGAGATGGCTGGCTTACTGTCTCCTAACTCCTGATCCCCATATCTGCCTAGGGCAGCCAGAGCTGAGACCTCAGGGATCTGTCCCTGCTTCCCAGGCTAGGGCTGGGACAGGCACACCAAGGTCCTAGAGTGGCTCAGGCTGAGGTGGGGTGCAGAGGGGCCACTTGTTGATACTCCCCTCTGCAGGACCCAAGGAGTGTCACTGCCCATGAGGAAGCCTCCCAACGATCAGCCCTCAGCTACTCGGGTGGGGGACAGGAGAGCAGCTCGTACTCCATGGGACCCTTATGTCCCTGGGGGGAAATTCCACACACAGTATACTCAGTGCATACATTTAGACACATACACACCGAAGAAAACACAGGAACAGATGCATGCACATACACACATACACACGTGCGTGCACTTGTATACGTGTACATGCGCACAAACACATGCACACACAAGCAATACCCAGCCACTTCCACACATGTACATATACATCACACACACACACACACACACACACACACACACACACACACACACACACACACACACTCATATTCTTTTTCTCTCCCCCTGCCCCAGGACCTGGAAACTGAGAACACCAGGGCCGTAATCACCAGTCTCCTGAGTGATGCCCATGGCACCGCAGGTCAAGACAGGAACTCAAGCCTGTGCTTCCAGACTAGCCTCTCAGAAGGCTGCCTCCCCTCCCCCAACCCTACAGTGCCCACTACACACCACACGGCCGTACTCTGACACTGGGCCCCGGCCACAACCCTCCAGTTCTGTTTCCATGTGGACCCACGTACTTTCTGTCTGCAGGATCTGGGGGCCCCACCACTGACCCCTCAACCTTACAGCAGCTCCCACCAGGAGGATGCCCTGACGAGGTCCAGGTAGCTAAACTGTTGGGGACTTACTAATGTCCCTCTTGGTCTCAACCAGGAAGGTTTGGCCTCAGACCCCAGCCAGGCTGGCCACTTGAGGTAGGCTTGTGGTCTCTGGTTCCGGACAAGGTCTTGCCAAATCACCTGCTGGTGACTTCTACCGACCCTGCCCCGAGAACACCCACCTGAAATGAGGTGGGCCATACCCCACAGTACCAAGAGAAGCTGACCCAGCTATGACGTTAGCTCAGGAATGTCTGTGGGTCACTGCCTGGCTCTATACCGATTCATGGAGTAACCCAGGGCAGACAGCTCAGCGGCTGAGCAGGTATGGGGCTCTGCTGCCCCATCACCCACCTGCTTCTGCATGCCACTGTGTGGGGCTGTGAGTCTCCTTATCTCTGACGCCAGCCAAGGTCAAGGGGAGGGTACCAGCCCAGTACACCCCTGCCAGCACGCTCTCGAGTGCTCCCAGGACTAGGCTTGGGGTGAAGTAAAGGGCCTCTGCTCTGATTCCCTGTGTGTTGGGGCCCCCAGAGGACCCCATTTGTGAAGCGGGGATTGCCACTGTCCCCAGCACTGGGGACCTTCCCTTCCCCCTGATAGTGGAGTTCCATTCAGCACTCACTCAACCACAGAGAGGCCCTCGTCGTCCGAGGGCGTCACCTCATCCTCTGACTGGTCACTCAGCAGGTCGCAGGGCAACAGGGCTGAGCCGTCTGCCACCTCCAGGACGGGGGCGATGCTGGGGCGCCGACTGCCAGAGCCGTTCTCCGTGGGCAGAGCCAGCTTGCCGCCGCCGCCGCCGCCGCCCCCACCACTCCCACCCTGGGAGGGCCGGCAATCCGTGTTCTGCAGGTCCATGGCCACTGTCCCTGGACAGAGGGGTGGACCCTGACCAGCAGCCCTTTCCACCCCCCTCTCTGGGCCAGCTGTGCGGCCTTCGGAACTTCAGCACATCCCCGAGTCAGTTTCCACTTCCGGACAAGGGGGACCCCTGAGTGGTGGTGATGTTGAGTAGACCCCACGGGCCCCCATCCAGGGCCCCATCCAAACTGGTTGCTGTGGCTGAGTCTGACCTCCTGAGGGTGGGGGCCCTTGGGGCTCATGGGAAACTGGTTGATCTGCTTTAAGGACAGGGCTAGGGAGGGTGGCCACACAGTAACACAAGATCAGGGAGGCCATTGTGCACCTGCTGGTCTCTGTCGCCCCCACCTCAGCCCAGGGCTGCCAGGTTGTGTCGGTGGCTGGCTCAAGGATGCGGCTCATAGCCTCTGTGGGCCAGAACTGAGGGGTGGTGGGAGGGCTTCCTCAGTCACTCTGTCTCAGGCATGGGGGTGAGCAAATATCAAGCAATGGATGCAGGTTGGGCTGGGCAGCAGCAACCCCGACCCTGAGCTCTTTCTCAGACGTGACCACCAGGGTGAGCTGTTATCACAGGAGTGACAACTTTAGGGTCTGGCAGGCAGCTGCTGGCACGTGTCACACTTGGCAGAGAATGTGTACCACAGAGTCAAAGCACAGGGTCCCTAGAGACCACTCAGGCTGGGCATACAGTGTTCACTTGTTTTGTGAGTCACAGCTTGGGCCTAGCACCACACCAGGTTATTGCCCTGGATAACCTGTGGGTCCGTGGCCTGAGAGGGCTCAATGACCTGTTCCTGTTCCCCACTGTCCCCTGCAGGGCTGATAGGGGATGACACATGCAACAGGGACCACCTTCTGAGTCTTGGACCAGCCCTGATCAGGAGGTCACTTGAACCAGTTCTGGGAAGACTGCAGTCCCTGAGAAGAGCCCTGAAGCTAAGATGTTGCTAACTTCAGACAATCTACACCTGGTGGATGCTGGGGCCTTCATCTATTCAAGGGATGCCCTGGGCTGGTAGAACTACACGGGCCTCTGGTTAGTAGTATATCTACCACAGTACCCCACAGGCTCTCGGTTACCCAGGTTACTGATGCTCACTAAAACTCTGGCAGGTGAGGGGGGACCCCAATTGGACAGATCCACAATGTGAGGCCCAGAGAGGCTCACACTGTCCTGGGAAGAGCTGAGTCTCTGGGGTCTCCTGCCCAGTGGCAGGTGGAGTGTGGAACACACCCTTGGAAACCACGCATCGACCTCCTGCCTCCTCAGCTGCTCACCCATAGAGGCGATGATGCTGTGCACTGGCAGCCGGGATGGTCCCTCGTACAGCGCCTGCCCTGCAAGGCCTCGCCTCTTCTGCTTCTCCTCCTGCTTGAAGATGAAGGCTGAGTTCTCCTCCTTGGTGATGTTGATGTAGAAGCAGGTGTCGGAGGCGCCCAGGATGTGCCGTGGCCCCGGGTTCAGCAGGATGCTCTTGTTCTCCTCACGCTTCAGCCCAATGAGGCACACACCATACCTGAGCAGACACGGCCTGGAGCTCGGGGCCACTCTTGGCACCCCGTGGCTCAGGCTGCCCTCCTGAGCCACTCATTCTCTTTCCGGGGACCCCACTGGGACCTTTTGGACAAGCCCCTCCCCTCGGGCGCTGGGGACTTGAGGACCAGCCTCAGGAGACGCTTCAGAGGGCAGTGGCTATGTGGCAGGTTCCCACATGAAGCCTTGTTCGGGGATGTCCAGCCTCACCAGGTGGGCAGAGCCGGGCTGCGCTGTCCTTGGCAGCCTCCTGCCCCAGGGCCCCACCCATGCCGACCTGGTCCTGGGAGGGGAGGATTTGCAGCCCAGTGGTGGTGGGAACAGCAGGCTCCAACCCCTAAGTCCCACGTACTTCTTGTGTGCGTGGAAGGCCGCGTAGGTGAAGCTCTTGCCCTCATACTCCCGGAAGAATTTGCTGTCACCCATGCGGATGTGGTACACTTCGTTGCCCGAGCAGCGCCCGTACATACGCTGCCACTGTTCCGGAGACTCCTGTCCTTCCCTACCAGAGCAGCAGGGTAAGGGGCCGTCACCTTCAGCCAGGGCTGCCCCTCCTACCCAGTTGGTTAAATGCACCCTGCATCACCCTGGACCCCTTCCTGTGCCAGACCTCTGCCCACTACATGCCCTCCTCCTCCAGGGAGCCCGCCCTGCCTTGTGGGGTTGATCGGGACGGCCAGGGCGTGGTAGTCGGTCTGGCACAGGGCACTCACTGGCCACGGGATGTGTGCACCAGCAGGGTGATGAGGGTGGAGGTGGCCGGGCAGATGCAGTTCAGGGCCAGCATGGCGTACTTGCACTCCTCCTCGCATACCACGTGGTCTGTGGGGACTGCAGGGTCAGGGCCCGCCACCCCCGCTGTCCCGGCCCCTCCCCGCAGCACCCAGGTCGCTCTGAACGTGTGGAGACACTCCCGCCTGAACAGCCCGCTCGTTACGGGTTCAGCACCTCTGTGAGCTGCACGTTGAGTCCCAAAGGAGCACCTGCATTTCTGGGGCCACCCCAGCTCTACCCAAGTGGCCCTTACCTGTCCCCCAGGTGCCCGTCATGGGTCCTGTCCATAGAGGTTCTGACCAGACAGTGCTCTTGTCTCCCACCCGCTCCCACTGACCTTGGCCCCAGGCGGAGGCCAGATCATCTGCCAAGGCTACACCGTGGTAGCTCCCCATATTCTGATGCAGAGATCCGGAGGGCATCTTATCCCACCAGCGAACCCTCCTTGAGCCTATGAGAGGAGTACTTCACCCCCACCCTCCGCTCCCTGGCAGCCTGCACGCCCATGACGTCACAGGGCCCCCAAACACACCAGCAAATTTGACGTGAAACTTGTTTTCGGGCTTGAGAATCTGGACGTAGAGGGGACAGTTGGGGGCAAAGTCCTTCACAGCCCAGGCTCGAAGGATGGTCTGGTGGTCCTGCGGGGGAGGTGTGGTTGGTGTTGGGGGGGCCTCCTGCTAACAGTGGGCAGGCAGTGCAGGCTGGGGGGGAGTGTGCCCGAACTCACCGCAGCAGTACGGTCCACCTCATTCCTGCTGCTGAGGATAAAACAGGCCTCGCCGTTGTCCATCCTGCAGAGCACCAGCCGCTGAGCGAGGCTGCAGACCCAGCGGACCTCCACCGGAAGAGGTCACGTCGGGAGGGGCCGGGTGTGTGGAGCGAGGGAGGATGGCCCAGCAGAGGGCCTTGCTACGGTAGTCAGGCCCGGCCTGGCGTGGCATCAAATCCTGCAGTGCACCCCAGGCCTCCCAGCCTCCCCAGATTCTCCTGGAACATTCTGGGCAGGTCAGGATGCCTGGACACCCACAGCAGAGTCCAAGCTCAGATGCTGAACAAGGCTCATAAGCCAAGCCGGCCCTGGAGTTACCAACTGACCAGTGGGGACTATTCAGGGCTTCCAAGCTGTGACATGATGGCGGCTGAGAGGGGACTCTGAGCCACACTCGGCCACATTCATCCACACCCTGGGCTCTGCTGGCTGCTGTCAGAGGCTTAGGATCGGAAGGAGTGGGTCCCTCTTGAGACCTTGTCTCACTGGTGCTGATGACCTAGGTTCTAGGGCAGTAGACCTTACATGGGCACCGGCGAGCATCTGGGGCTGGTCTCCTGGGCTCCCACCCACCCTGTGTTGGGCCACAGAGCCTGTCCCCTCTTCTGCCTGACCACTCAGCAGCCTGGACTTGGGTGGTCATTTCTAGCTCCTTCCGGGTTCCCAGGAGACTGGCTATAGAAACAGCTCAGCCCTGCTGAGAGCCAGTCGGGGAAACCTTCACCTCACAGGCACGGCAGTAAGGCCTCGTGCCTGCTCCACAAAAGCTGTGGGTGCCTCCCTGCCTGGCAGTCACTTCCTTTTTCCTGTCTGCCAGCCCAGAGCGGGACACAGGCAAGTACAGTCTCATGTGAATTGGGCAGGAGCCCCCAAAAGATTGCATCCATGGGAGCCCCACCCAGCTCAGGGTTCAGGATGAGGGACCTGGGCCATTGTCCCGTTTGCCCTGGGCCCTGCCTCACCTGTACCACACAAGCAAGGGTACAGGAGCCTCCCGGAATGGAAACGTGGCATGAGAGGCTTTGGGGGAAGAATCCCAGATGGTGCAATAGCACATTCCAGTTCCACGTTAGCAGCACACCCCTGTCACCTTGAGTCACTCTGTCAACTTGTCTTCACATCAAGAGCCACCCTCAGCCCTGTGTCTTCGCCATTGACTCTCAGCAGCCGTTTTTTTTCCACCCCCAGTCTATTTTTAAGCTCCCTGAAACCTGACAGAGAAAATCCCCAGACTCAGAGCAAGAGAGGGAAAGTCGCCCCGAGGCAAGATCCACAGCAGAGGAGGGCACGGCTGGACGAGGCGTGTCTGTTAGGCTGTCTAGCAGGGGCTAGCGTGTCGGGATGGCGCTAGGGTCCCACTCACCTGGGCCTCGACCCTGACCATTTCACCCACCCTGGCCCTGCCTCCACCTGGGAACCCTGCTTGCCTCAGGCTCTGTGCCAAGCTAGCCTGTCATGGCCCTACCTCTACGTGGGGACTCCCCGTGGCCTCAGGCCTAGGTCTGGCTGCGCTGTCCTGGCTGGCACTCACTTGGCTCGCATGAGGTCCTGGTCCTTGAGGGCAGAGCCCTGGAGGTAGATGACTCGCTGGGACCACAGGGGAATCTGCAGTACCCTGCGCACCTGGACATCCATTTCGGAGGGACACAGGATGACCACGTAGTAGTCCTGCTGGTCAGGCTCGATGTCAGTGCCTCTGAGCAGGGTCCTGTCCCCCCAGCCTGTATTGTTTCCTGGATGGTGTCATTCCCAGGGCCTTATGGGACCACCACAGACTGCCACCCCCTCACCCCCAACACACACACCGGATATGATAGCCAGGGTCTGGAATGCTCAGGAACCTTGCCCAAGCATGTGGCAGTCTTGTACAGCGGGGGGTGGGGTAGGGGTGGGG